TACTAGATAGCAGCCTAACCAACCTGGCCGCCCTTTAGTACCAGGTTCTGCAGTCTTCCTGCAACTCACCTCTCCCCAGGGCCTTCCACCCAAGCCACAACTATGCCGGCTCTTTGACCCATCCATCATCCATCCACCCTCATCCATCCATCCTCCCTCCCTTCATCCATCATCCCTCCCTCCGTCCATTCACTGGACATGTCTGTATTCCCGTTTCCTCGTCTGTAACTTAGCTGTGGCAATTGCACTTAACCAAGAACAGTTTGGTGATGTTGCATTAAGGGCATGGACCGTGCCTAGCAGAGAGTCAGCACTCAATGATTACCACTGTGAGGAGGGGGGAATGCTCTTTGTTCAACCTCCTTGCTTGCCAATGACCCTGGACCCTGCCTGGGAGTCAGCAAATACCTGTGGGATGCAGAAGAGCAAAAAGCCTCCTGCCTCCTCCTGGCTGTTGATCCAGATGTGTTTATATGTCACCCATCATTGCTACCTCTCTAGTCATTTCTGCTGGTGATTTTCATCAGCAAACTACCTGTCRCAGTCACCTGTTGTGGAAGCGCACCAGCCTTCCTAGAGATTGTCCCCCATCATTGTCCCTGCCTCTCTGAGCCCGGGTTTCCCTCTCCATAGGCTTCAGTGAGAATCCCAGCCCCTGGATCTACAGAGATCTCAAAAGAGCCATGGATGAGACCTCTGCCTACCCTGGAGAATTCTCGGTCTGCTTCGCAGAGCTCCGGAAGAAGTTTTTCAGCAAGTATCCCAGAAAACTGAAGGACTTGATTCTCCTGATAAAGTACTGGTACCAACAGGTAATTTCAAATTGAACATGTCATTACGATGTGCTTCCTTGTGACTGAGACGACGCACATCCAGCCAGGTTCCACAGCTTGCTGTTATTGTTCATCCTCATCGGCAATTCCCAATCAAAATGGAGAATGCTTTCTGCCTCGCAGATGCCATATTGAGACCACCTTGGTCCATTATGCCCCAAACACCCCTATTCCAACATCMGTCACCACCGACCAGTGCCGGGATTGAACTCAGGGGCACTCGACCCCTGAGCCACATCCCCAGCCCTATTTTGGATTTTATTTAGAGTCAGGGTCTCACTGAGTTGCTTAGTGCCTCACCATTGCTGAGGCTGGCTTTGAACTCACGATCCTCCTGCCTCAGCCTCCAGAGCTGCTGGGATTACAGGCGAGAGCCACCGCACTCAGCCTGTTTCTGGAGGGTTTGCATCTCCTTTCTTTTGTCAACACGATATCTGGGAGATTCAGCCACATTGTTGAAAGTAGCAGAAACGTTTTCTTGTTTCCAACGGTTCCATTTTGTGAATATACCACATATTGATCTTTTCTACTGCTGATGGGCATTTGGGTCATTTCCTAATTGGAGCTATTATGAATTAGGTTACTCTGCCTATTCTCCTGGGTGTCTTTTATAAATTCAAACACTCGTTTCTCTTGGGTAGGCACACGGCGGTGCCATGGCTGGGTTCTAGGGTCAGCATACGGTTGTGTACATGTGTGTGTGTTCACACAACCACACGGAACACCTATGTGCATATGTATATCTACAAGCCTGGGATCCATATGAAATACATATGGGGAGTTTTTAATTCACTTCATTATGGCCAAACAGTTTTCCAGAACAGCTACACCTAGTTATATTCCCATGAGTGGTAGGTGAGAGCTGGGGTTGCCCRACACTCTGTCCAGCCTGGGGTTGGACAGTGCCTTCAATGTTAGGCCTTCTGATGGGGACAGGGACTTCTTGTAGACTCCGGATTCCTTGATCTTGGACCCCAGGGCACAGGGGGAACTAGGTCTCAGCACGGCCCTTGCTCTTGTCTCCTCCCACAGTGCCAGAAAAAATGGGGGAATTCCTCCTTGTTCTCGGGGTACGCCCTGGAGCTCCTCACGGTGTACGCCTGGGAGCAGGGGTGCGGAGCGGAGGACTTCGACATGGCCCAGGGCGTCCGCACTGTCTTGGGGCTGATCGAGCAGAAGGACCTCCTGTGCGTCTACTGGACAGTCAACTACAACTTTGAGGACCAGACCGTCAGGAATGTCCTCCTGCAGCAGCTCCGATCTCAGAGGTGGCCTGCCTGCCCCGCAGTCCCCCCCACAGGCCAAGCGCCAGGCCTCAGCCTTCCCCCGTGGCCCCCGGGGGCTGAAAGTGGGGACTGGCCCATGCCCTTGCTCCCCAAACTGGGGTCACGCTTTGTCCTGGAAACAAACATGGCAGCCCTGCTCTAAGAGGGGCAGAGGTGCAGAGGGGGAAGGGGTCAGGAGGAAGGAGAAACCCCTGTGTCCTCGGTCGTTGGACCCTCCCTGCCAAGCAGTGGACACAGGCCCAGAGAACCGACTGTCACAGAAAGAGCCCTAGCAGCCCAGGGGACCCGCAGGAATCCAAGTCTGGGTGGCAGCTGCCCACTCTGCCCTCAGAACTGACGAGTTTTCCTCCAATGGGACTCCCAGGCCCGTCATCCTGGACCCCGCCGACCCCACCAACAACGTGAGCAGACGGGGTGTACCCTGGCCGCGTCTGAAGGAGGAAGCCGGGCTCTGGCTCTCTTCTCTCCAGCAGAGCGGCGAGGCGCCGAGGCTCTCCTGGAATGTTCTGGTAAGAGGCTTTTCCACACGCGGCTTGCTCCAGGCTGCCGGAGGGTCCTGCCGACCCCTGGCTCGGTCACTGGTCCTGAGGCCAGATACCCCAAGTCAGGGTGTGTACAGGACGTGCCCTCTCTGAGGACGCTGGGGAAGAGTCCCCCTGGTCCCCCGGCCTCTGTGGTTGCTGGCCCCCCCTGGGCTATGGCAGCCTCTGGTCACCACTGCCTCCAGGGTCACCTGTCCTTCTCCATATGTCTCCATGTCCTCTACCCTCTGTGCGTCTGTCCAGCTGTTTCTCTTCTCCTAAGAACAAGAGCTGCGTTGGGTGAGGACCCACCCTGACCTCTCTTAACCTGACCACGTCCAGAAAGACCCCATTTCCAAGACAGGTGCTGCAGGTCCAAACCCTGACGGCTCTTAGGGGAGGCGACTCGACCCGTGACACCGCAGGGCTCTCCTTTCCCACAGAAGGCCTGGGAGGCGTACACGGGAGCAAAGAGCAAGAGGGGACCCAAGAGAAGACGTGAGCAGAGCCCAAGAGAGGGGCAGGTCCCCTGGGGACGCCCAGCAGGCTCTCACCCCATGCAGCCGGCGTGGAGGGTCGGGGGCAGGAGGCAGAGATAACCCCCAGAGGGACTGGCCAGGAGACAGTCCGGGTGTGGATCCCCGGGTACCCTCAGAGCCTGCAGAGGGGACGATGCACGGAGGACATTCCCAGGTCAGACCACTGGGACTATTCTGCCTCCTTGAGAAAATTCATCTTCTGAGGACAAGCAGATGGAGCAAATTCCGCATTCTGCAGACAAGGGACTGATTTACCCCCAATTCTAGGGGAGGCAGGAACTACAGCCCTTTTGTAAAGAAATCTGAGGGCTGTAAATGAACATGTGAAGGAGCTCACCTGAAGAGGGAGCCCGTGCCTGAGGAGGTTCCCTAACTGGACCCCGGGCCCTGCCCCAGCCCCCCTCGCTCTGGAATCCTGGTCGTGGCTCCCCCCCCCCAATTTTCATGACGTTTTATTCTGAAAAGCTTTCAAACATAGAATAGTGGCAGCGATGGTCCAGCGGGTCTCTCTGGGCCCCGACACAGCTGCACAGATGTGCCACATTGACCACATCTTCCACGGGACACGCATGTCATTATCACTCTTCAGTTTAGACCGGGACATTKGAGACTAGGCTCCCAGACACCTTCCTACCTGGACATTTCTGCTCCTCCATAATCTCCAGGCCACCAGCTAATGCCGCTGGGCTCATATGTTTTTACTGTCTCAGTCCAGTCCATTTCTAGATCGCGTCCAGTACCCCGAGAATATCCACTAGAACATTCTATCCCAGAGCACAGGTCRCGTTGGTTCTTGTGTCTCCCCTATACCATCTTGGGCTCCTGCTTTGGTCATTTGTGTCTTGCTCTTCTTCTGCCTCTGTGTCCAGACTGGGGACACCCCCCCCCAGCTACTGAGGATAAGACARGAGCCCAGGAGCCGCTGAACAACAGGAGGGCTCACGTGCATGTGTGTACACACACACTCACACACTCACGCACACACACACACTCACACACACTCACACACAAACCCTGCACTTCCAAGTTTGCCCTCCAGGGGGAGCTACCCCAAGAACTCTGAGGTCCCCTTGCAATATCTGTGGGCCACCAAGGTAAGCTGTTGACCACGGAGCTGAGCGACATTCGCACCTCCAATGGGCTGGTCAGTGCTGGGCAAYGGAAGGACCTCATTCCTCAGAACAACGTGTGCATCGCCCCTTAGTGCAGCTGTCTGTCTGTTTAGTGCCCCAAGCTTAGTGGCTACAGCAACACGAGTTGATTCTCCTACAGTTCTGGGGAGAAGCGATCCCAGATGGCACGCCCTGTGCCGGAACCGAGGCGTTGTAGGCTCCGGGGAAGGACGTGTTTCCTGGGCTTTCCGAGCTTCTCAAGGCTGTCCCAAGTTTCTTGACTCCTGGGCCTTGCTTCCTCCACCTGCAAAGCCAAGAGCCTGGCACCTTGCTGTGTCTGTCTCTGCTTCTGGGGCCKCCTGGCCTTCTTCAGCTCTAACCTTCCTGCCTGCCTTGTCATCTCGGGACTCCCTGGACCAGCCGGGTGACCGGGCTCATCTCCCCACCTCAAGTCCTCACCAGCCCKTCAGGAGCGGGACCCAGATCTCTCCAAGGTGGTAACGAGAGGAACTAGCAGGGTGCTCACCCCSGGGGGATTCGGGTACCACCCTAAGMTCTCAGGTGCACTTCTGAGGTGAAGCCACTTGAGGGCCACAGACAGGACAGCTGCTGCTGACCGGGGGAGGKCAGAGACAGAGCTGGCACAGCGGGGAAGGCAGCCCCCCTTGGCCGCCAGGAAGGCTCAGCCCTGCGTCCCCCACTTTCCCAGCCAGCACCACTCTTCACGACCCCCGGCCACCTTCTGGACAAGTTCATCGAGGACTTTCTCGAGCCCAACAAAGTCTTCCTGAATCAGCTCAACAAAGCCGTGGACGACATCTGCACATTCCTTAAAGAAGATTGCTTCCGACACTCGACCACCAAGGTCCAGAAGGTCGTCAAGGTGAGTGCAGGCCTTCTCTCCAGGTTTGCTGCGGGCAGGGGAAAAAGTGGGACGGGGCATCACTGTGGCTTTCCAGGACTCAACCTGCATCAGAAATCTGAGACTAGGGAACTGGGACTAGGATGCTAGTCTTTGGGGGGGGGGGGGCATTGACAGACCGTCACTGTCATTAACGGCTCGTGTTTCACCCTGTTTCCTAGGGTTGCTGGCCATCCTTGGTACTCTTGGGCTTGTAGGTSCATCGGTCCCATCTCTACCTCTGTCTTCGTATCCCCTCTCTGACATGTGTCGTCTTCTTTTCCCTTCCAAGGACACTTTCCATTGGGTTTAGAATTCAGAATGATCTCATCTCAAGATCTTTAATTTAATTACATCTGCAAAGACTCTTTTCCCCAATAAGGTCATGTATCAGTCACCAGTACTGTACCAAAATGCCTGAGACAAATGAACTGATAAAGAGAAAAGGTTTGTATTGATTGATTGGCCCCATTACCAGTGGTGAGGCAGAACATATGGTGGACCAAGCCACTCAGCTCATGTCTGGGAATCAAAATACAGAGAGATAGGAGGGGGCGTCATTTCCATAATCCCCCCTGGGGAATGCGCTCCATGACCTAAAACTCCTGTAGCCACAGCTCTTAAATTTCACCAGAAATTGAATGGAGGAGGAGAAGGAGGAGATTAAGAAGTTCAACCTGTGTAGCAGAGAACTAAGCACCCTCAAAGCCTAAAATACTACCGTCTATCCTTTGATGGATTGTTTACTGACCCCTGCACCTTAGTTATGAATATTCATCCCGAGGTCTCCAGACTGCAGGAGACTGGCCCCTCAGAGAACAAATGAGAACTTACAACGTAGCAATCACCTGAGTTTGACTTATTTGAGGAAAATAAGTGAAAGTTGAGGATTCTTTAGGAAATTGAGAAGTGGAGGATCCATTGTTATTGTCCCCCAGTGGGATCAGGGCACCGGATCCTAACACTCTGCAAATCCTAACGCTCTGCTCTGCTTTGGACTCCACCCTCACTGGACCCTCATTGGAAGCTGCCCTTAGTGACCTCATGAATTARCCCCAAGTTGTGCCAGACTGTGGTGGCGAGGGCCTCAAGGGCCAGGAGAGCCTGGGTCTCACGCCCCCTCTGTCCYCCAGGGAGGGTCAGCCGCCAAAGGCACGACCCTGAAGACCGGTTCCGACGCTGACCTGGTGGTGTTCCCCAGCACACTTCAGAGCTACACCTCCCAGAGAAACGAGCGGGCCAGGGTTGTCCAGGAGATCCGCAGGCAGCTGGAAGTCTGGCAGCAGAAGAAGCAGTTCGAAGTGACATTCGAGATGTCCAAGTGGAAGGCCCCCAGGGTGCTGAGCTTCTCTCTGAAATCCAAAGATGTCAACGAAAGTGTCGACTTTGAYGTGTTGCCCGCCTTTAACGCACTAGGTGAGCATCCCCAGAGCCCAGCTCTGGAGGAGSAAGATTCTAGATGCTGGAAGTGGCGGGTGGTCAGGGATGGAGAGAACCACCAAGTACAGAAGCAAAGTGCAGAAGAGGGACCAGCAAACTTTTTTTTTAATCTAAAAGTCAAGATAGCAATTATTTATATTTTGAGGGCTACGGGGTATCTCCCTGCACTCAACTCAGACTTTATAATATGAAAACGGCCATAAGCAACACAGCGACAAATACTGTAGCCTTGTTCCAATAAAACTTTATTTACAAAACAAACAGGGGGCCAGGTTTACCCCAGGGACCAAGGTTTGTGGATTCCAGAGCTGCCCTGTTCAAAGCTCATTCTTCAATAATGGAAGTTGTCTCCAGCTGGGTTCTAGATCGACCAAGAACTTGAAATAATCTCAGAAAACATCTCATTCCTCTGAAGAGGCTGCCTGTGCCTTAGACACCAAGATGCAAATACTCTGGTACAGTTCAGCCTCATCTCCTGGGACTGTATGTCACAAAATGTTTTAAAATCTTTTATCCAGGTCAACTGCGTTCCGGCTCCACACCCGGACCCCAGGTCTACGCGGGGCTCATCGATCTGTACAGATCCTCTGACCTCCCGGGGGGAGAGTTTTCTACCTGTTTTACCGAACTGCAGCGCAATTTCATCGTCTCCCGGCCCACCAAGCTGAAGAACTTGATCCGCCTGATGAAGCACTGGTACAAACAGGTATGCTGGCCCCGGCTGACCGCCTGGCCGTGACCTTTACCAGTGAGATGTGGCCAGGAAGCCAGTCCCTGCCCCATTCTCCCACACTGGGACTGGGCCGCTCCAGAGAACCCGCCCGTGGCTGAGCCCGGTGTCTGTAACATTCCTGTCACTAACTTTATTTAGTTGGGCCAGGCATGCCCTGCCTCCTGCCATCAATTAGCCAAAGAATTCAGCAGGAATCCAAGCCACCAAGGGAGGACAGGAGTTAGGAGTGACAGGCCCGCGGGTTGGCAGGTGCCAGGGTGGCTTCTCTGCTGGTCGGTTTCCACAGGGGGTAGACACGGGCACCTCCTGGCAGGCAGCCCGCAGCCRCAGGGGAGGAGGCTGCTGAGCTTTCTGTACCGGGCAGCCCCTCTGTGCTCGATTTCACGATCCTGCACACAAGGTGCTTTCCGATTGTTTTCATGATGGCAAACGTCCAACGCGCGACCCCAGCTCCGGGAGCTGCCCCTTGCTGCTGTGGCCCCTACGGCCTGAACACTGGGCTCTGCGGTCTTTGTCCCAGACAATCAAAGGTGGCGGGTGTGGCGGTTCAGAGGGCTCTGGTGTGACCTGGAGCAGTGTCCTTCCCCTTGCCCCCTACTTCTGATTTCATCTGGAGTGGACATCATGGTGCCCAGCTTTGGTGGGATTGGGGATGGTGCGAGTAACATGCCCCAGCCCCTGGTTGGCCCCTGGTGGGGTTCTGGCCACGGCTGTGTGACTGTCCCGAGAGCCCCAGCTGCTGGACAGTATTTAGACCTCCACAGGGCAGAGCACCTGCCTMCAGCGTCAYGGTGACTACGTCGCTCCGCMGTGGCCCAGCCGTCCATGGGACCCTCGGAGAGCTCCTGGGGCGCCTGTTCTTAACAAGGTCATCTGATGTCCCCCCGTCCCTCAGTGTGAAAGAAAACTGAAATCCAAGGGGTCTCTGCCCCCGAAGTACGCCCTGGAGCTGCTCACCGTCTACGCCTGGGAGCAGGGCAGCGGGTCGGAGAGTTTCCACACCGCYGAAGGCTTCAGGACAGTCCTGGATCTGGTCACAAAGTACCAGCAGCTCTGCATCTTTTGGAATGTCAACTACAACTTCGAGGACGAGACGATGCGCACCTTCCTTCTGACCCAGATCCAGAAAACCAGGTGCCCCTCTATTCTTGATTGACCGGTTTCCTCTGATGCTCTTGCATCCTTTTCCTCCCCCTGGACCCTGAGTCATTCCACATGTGACCCTGAGCAGTGAGGTGCTGACAGCACGGCCACCCAGTCCTCAGGGATAAAGTCCTAGGGGCGGAAGGAAGTGCTGCCCAGGAGGAAGAGGGACAGGGCTCTTATCCACCTGGGTTTGTCAGCAAGTCTGAGAGGGTGGCGTTGGAAGAGTGTCCCCAGAAAGAACGCTGTCCCCCACTGTCAATTTGTTATTGGGGGTTTGTACTAGGTCAGGTTTAATCTGCCCTTTCCGACCTTCAAGAATAGACCAGGAATCTCAGCACGTGTCCTCAGCAGCGGGGACAGAACACCAGAGGCAGGAGGAACAGGATGAGAAAAGAAAGAGAGTACAGAGGAAAGGGGAAGCCGGGTGGGCTGGGGGGCGGGGGACCTGCTCCACAACATTGTGTTTGGTTAAAAGAGGACTCAGCTTCGAGGGGACAGTGACATAGAGTGGCACTGTGCTCTCTGTGTAGAGTAACAGCTTCCAAAACATCTAGCAGATCCTGTGATTTGTGCCTGTGATCCCAGCTGCTAGGGAGACTGAGGCAGGAGGATCTCAAGTTCCAAGCCAGCCTCAGCAATTTAGAGAGGCCCTAAGCAACTCAGTGAGACCCTGTCTCTAAATAAAATACAAAATAGGGCTGGGGCTGGGGCTCAGGGGTCGAGTGCCCCTGGGTTCCATCCCTGGTACCAAAAAAAAAATTGCTGTAAGTAGGACGGGGCCTCAAATTCTGAAGCCACCAGTTTGGAAAGAAATCCTCTAGGAATTAACCAGCTTCTCACACCTTCTCACCCTCCTACAGGCCTGTGATCTTGGACCCAGCAGACCCCACGGGTGACGTGGGAGGTGGGGACCGCTGGTGCTGGCATCTCCTGGCCAAAGAAGCCCGGCAGTGGCTGTCGTCTCTCTGCATGAGGGATGGGGCCGGAAACCCCGTGCAGCTGTGGAATGTGCCAGTAAGGGTGATCTGAAGGAAGTGCCCCCCCCCCCGACGGTCCTGTGTCAGGCTCAAGTCAAGGAACTTCTCTGGGAGCTAAAGCAGCCATGTCCCCTTCCCCACCCTGTCACCAGTAACCGCTGCACATCTCAGCAAGCAAGAGGCCCCCAGGGCTCCAGAACAGCTTGGGAGCCCTTCCCTGTGCGGTTCCCTGGGCCTCAGCGCCTCTGACGTCGGGGCTGGGGTGCCCTCTGCTGGTGGGGTGGAGGGGCCGGATCAGGAGTCTGAGCAGCACCCTGGTCTCTACCCAGCAGGTGCCAGAAGCACCCACCTCCCTAGCCAACCAGGTCTGCAGTCATGGTCACGTGTTCCCCATGGGAGCGCAGCTCTCTGTGGCTTCTGGCCCCACCCTGTTTAGTGGGTTTCTGGCCCCACGAGTCCATAGACAGCAGGTCCCCCTACTAGGAGGGAAGAACTAAAAGGGGAAAGATAACCAGGGGTGGTGAGCACTGGGATTTGGCTGGGGACAGTGGCACACACCTGTGATCCCAGCCACTCGGGAGGCTGAGGCAGGAGGATCACAATGGCCTCGTGGCTACAGAGAACCAGGGTGAGGATGACCGTGGCTGTGGGTTGGGTCGGTCACCCAAGAGTGGGGGCCTCCTGCTACCCCGATCTACCCTCGGGTTCTCCCGCCTGCACCCTCGGCCACCCTCCCAGCCCCCGTCTCTACAGCAGGGCTTCTCCGCCTGGGCCCCGGGGTAGGGGAGTCTCATTTCGGGGGCTAAGCAGCACCCCAGCTCTCTACCCAGATGCWGCCACCCAGGTGGAACAAGACATTGTCACCTGTCCTCCAGGGAGGGAATCTGTCCCTGGGAGAACCCCTGCTTTAGAGCAATCCCCCTGCTTCCCCTTGTTACCAGAATCGATAGCACCAAAAGAATGTCTCTGGCCACAGTCTCGTCCCCAGATACGGTCCCCAAGCCTCTCCTTGGGCTCCTTAGCAGGGGTCGTCGCTGCACAGGACCCTCATCTCCTCCGCTGTCCACTCCCACAGACAGTGCAGATGCCGGGCAGTTGCGGAGCTGGGCTCTACCCTGCTGTCTGGGTCAGAAGCCACTCCATCCTGAGGTGACGCGCTAGAAGACCTTCTAAGGCCATCTGGAAATTGCTCTGAAAGAATCCGGTCCCCCAGGCTCGCTCCGCCCTGCTGGGCCCCGCCTCTCCTCCCCGGTGTCTTGGACCCCCTGAAAACAAGGCTGCAGAGCCCTTTCCCCACTCCCACCTGGTTGGACCCCATGAGGCCGCTGACCACCTTGAAAGGCCTCGGCCCCCAGCCGCCCTCTCTACACTCCTCAAGGACCCTCGCTGCACCCCCAGAGTCAGGCTCTTCTCCTGGCCCTTGGTCCCTTCACTCTGAGCTGTTCTCACAACCTCCCAGCTCAGCCACCATCTGTCTGTCCCCTTCCCTCCACACACAGACCCTCCCTGCCCCACTGCTGTGGTGTCCCCCAGCCGGCTGCCCGCCAGCCCTGTCCTGCCATGGTCAGCTCCCCCCACCCACTGCCTGTTCCTCCCCCCACCCACTGCCTGTCTTCCCACCCACCCAGGAGACAACAAAGCATCCACCCGGCCTTTGTGCCCAGGGACTGGCATAGAACTTCAAAACCAAGGAATTTCCTGACAAAAGTGTCTTTTGCATTCATAATGAATCCTCTTCACCATCCCTGAATTTCAGCTAAGAAGGTAACTCCTAGCTGGTGCAGTGGCGCACACCTGTGATCCCAGTGACTTGGGAGGCTGAGGCAGGAGGATCGAAGTTCAAGGCCAGCCTTAGCAACTTAGTGAGGTCCTTTCTCAAAATAAAAAGGGCTGGGGGTGTAACTCAGTGATGGAGCATCCCCAGGTTCAATTCCCAGAACTGCAAGAAGAAAGGAGGAGAAAGGGCCTCAGAGACCCCAGGGGCACTTAGGGCATGTGGAGGGGGGCTTCCCGAGCCAGGAAGACCTCCTGCGTAATTAAAGGGCCAGAGCTTTCCACACCCCCGATCTTCAGGAAGCAGAGGGAACTAGAGATTGAGCTCAGTTGTGCAGTCGGTGATCTAACCAATCTTGCCCAAATAATGGGGTCCAATATAAACTTCTGGGTCATGAGGCTTTGGAGCTTCCTGGTGGGCAAACACTACAGTGTCTCAGGAGGGTCGCGTGTCCCAACACCAAGGGGACAGAGCTCCTGACCTCAGCGTGCTCCTGGATTGGCTGTACCCTGTCTCTCTCTATCTGGTTGTTCACTCATGTTCTTTATCATAAAGTGGTGATTGCAAGCAAAGTGTTCTCCTGAGTCCTGCGAGTCATTCTAGTGACATATGAGACCTAAGAGGGTCAAAGCCCCAAATTTRTAGCCAAGTCGGGCAGAGGTGTGGGCAGCCCGGGGAGCCCATGCGGGGCTGCTGTCTGAAGTCAGGCTGGATGTGCTGGAGACCTTGCTTTTACCCCGCGGGCGCTGCACCCACTCCAGGCAGCTAGAGTCTGAATTGAATTGAATTGCAAGATGGTCCATGGGTGTCAGAGGATCGGCACTGAATGCACCACTTTCATGCCAATGCCTTCGCTGCATTCAGTAGAGGGTTGAATTCATTAGGAGCCAAGCTAGACGTCACAGCGACCGGCAAACATGCAGTCCGTGGTTCTTACGGGACACAACGAGGGCACCGACCCTTTTGCAGAAAAAAAATCAGTAGCTGATGTCAACAAATGGCCTCTCTTGTAGGATCTGTATTTCGGGATAAACAAGAAACCATATTGATGAGGAAATTGTATTCTTTTACCCAGAAGAATTCTCTTTCGCATGTGCAGAGAGGATGCAAAATCAGAAACACCGTCCCAGTGAGACCTCRGATGAGACACTCAGGCAGAGCCCCAAGGCACGACACGAGATGCTATGGGAACATGCAATGGGAGTGTCACCTCCCAGGTCCACAGTGCAGTCACAGCACCAGTGGGAGGGAGAGGGGGAGGCAGGGTGGAGATCAGCGGCCGAGCACGGGATCAGGGTGCCCAGGCCTGGGGGTGCGTCCCCAGAAGCATCAACAACGCAGCCAGGAGTCAGCGTAGTGCCTCCAGGTGGAGGCACAGCACTGTCCCATAAATGTTCTTGCCAACTTGATTTTTTTTTTTTAATTCGGCACCATCATGGGCTGCAGGACACAAAAAGAACTGACTTAACAGATCCCAGAGAAGATGCACKGGCCAGAGAGACTTCATAGAAAGAGACGAAGAAAACAGGGAGAAGCGAAGCCCAGACAGAAACATGGAAGGGTAGGCATGCTCCCAACCCCAGGGTACACAAGCCAGGATTGTCACAGGAATCCAGTGAAGGACACCTAAAGGTCAAGGTCCAAGGCCAGGATTCATGCCTGGCTACCCTAGCAGCCCGGTCCCCAATGGTATCAGAGAAAGGAAGCAGAGATGAGAAGCACAGCCCTTGGGGCAAGAGAAATTTGGAAGAGTTTGAGCAGCAGACCAAGAATGAGGTCACCAATGGGGACAATTTGTGGTTAAAAGGACCACCGGGAGCCAGGTGGTACCTGCCTGTAATCCCAGTGACTCTGGAGGCTGAGGCAGGAGGAGCACAAGTTGGAGGCCAGCCTCAACAACTCAGTCTCAAAATAAAAAGGACTGGAGTTGTAGCTCAGCAGTCAAGCGTCCGCAGCTTCCAATCCTCAGAAACAACAGGAGAAAAGAATCATTAGGAGCCTGAATAGCGAGGGCTTTGGTGCTTTTCCACTGAGGGTGGTTCACATCTGGGCGGGAAAGGCCTTACCATTCATCCGTCATTCACGGGCATCAGAGTCCAGGAGAGCCCTGGACAGGGAGAGGCACGGGAAGCTCTTCCCTGGCACCGCCCTGTGTGAGTTGGGCCAGGTCCCCTGGAGTGGGGTGTAGACTTCGAAGGAGGAATCTGGCTTGGATGACAGCGTGAGCAGCCCAGCGGCTCCACCCAGCTGGGACGGTGACCAGAGCCCTGGTGTGGCACTCCCCTGGGCTGTGGGGCTGGGCTGCGAGGCACCCAGGGAATGTCCCATGTTCCCAAAGGGGCCAGAACGTGGGGCTGCCCTCACAGGGTGGGGAGTTAACACCAGAAGAGGACAAAGGCTCAGCTGTGCAGGGTTCCAGCAAGGAGAGGAGGACTCGGTCAGCACAGAGGGTCCCTCTCCAGCCCTCAGGAGAAACCCTGACCGGGAGGGACGGTCCCCAAGGTGGAGAGCAAGGTCCACAGGCTTTTTGAAGGCTGTGTCCAGAGTGACGTCAGAATCATGGAGGACGCGAAGGCCAGCTGGGACCACCTGAGCTGGGCCGAGAAAATACTGCTAAATCCCCAGGAAGCCCGGGAAAGCACGGAGTCAGGCCGAGTGACACCCCCACAGACATGTCCACAGCCTCGCCCCTGGGGCCGTAAGCACGCCACCCCACGCGGCGAGAGGGCTTTGCAGATGCGATTAACCCCGTGGACCTTGAGATGGGGAGCTGGTCTGGGCTTATCCAGGTGGGCCTCATCCAAACACATGAGCCCTTAAAACAGGGACTCTTTCCCAGTCAGAGTGAGAGAGGATCACCGAAGAAGAGACAGGAGATCCTAGTCACCGCTGCTGCTGGGAGAGGAAGGAGACCKCGAATCTGGGAATGAGGGAAAGGCAAGAGCAGAGACCCTCTTCTGGGACCTCCAGCTCCTGGATTTGAGCCCTTGACTTCAGACTCCTTGCCTGCGGGTTCTGAGATAACRAATATGTGCCTTTTAATTGTTATTGCAACAACAGGAAACTATGCAAGAAACAAAATGATCACCCATTTCTTTCTGAGACTGCTAAACTCATGTAGGACTCTCACCTGGCTGAGCCTAAGAAGCTTAAAAGACACGTGTTTCTTATCATTTCCAGAACAATCCATCATTCCGAAGTACAGACACCAAAAAAATGCAATGATCATGAAAGAACTGAACTGAAGTGTCACTGTTTATCAGTGTTTTCAATGTTGTTTTATTTTGTTTTTGGTATTGGGGATTGAACCCAGGGGCACTCAACCACTGAGCCACATCCCCAGCCCTTTTTTATATTTTATTCAGAGACAGAGTYTCCCTGAGTTGCTTAGGGCCTCACTAAATTGCTGAGGCTGGCTTTGAACTTGAGATCCTCCTGCCTCAGCCTCCCGAGTTGCTGGGATGACAGGCRTGC